GGTCGATCGTTGTCTCCACCCGTCTCATCCTTCCCTTTCTTTCTTGCTATCCTCTTCCCCTTCTCCCCTCCTCTCCCCCCCTCCCCCCCCCCCCCACCTCTCCCCCTCCCCCCCCCCCCTCTTACCAACTTCAGTAGCCTCAACTACAACCAGTTCAACGGCTCCATACCAGAGACGCTGGGCAATCTACACAACTTGACACGCCTGTGCGTGAGCTGGGGGGGATAGAGACGCACGCTTTGATGTGACGGAGTGCAGAGTGGTGGGGTCACACGAAATGCTGTGAGCGAGGGAGAGCGAGGGCCTAATGGAGTGCAAGGGGTTCTCCTACAAAAACTGTAAGGGGTGAACTACATCTGCGACGCATTGAGAGGCTGGCATGGTGAAGAGCGGGCCTGATTTGATCATTCACCTCAATATCCATATCCTCTACTCCCTTCCTGTTCTTTCTTTCTCCACACCTGCTCGCTTCCATTCTTCCTTTCCTCTACCACATCACACATTTGCCATTCCTTCACTCCTTCAATGTTTTCTTGTTGCATCCCATTCCATTACCCACAACATCTCAGAGCCCTCGATTACAACCAGCTCTCAGGATATATCCCCGAATCACTTGGAGAACTGACCAGCCTGGGATATTTGTAAGAAGCAGGCTGCATTGTTGTATCCTAAGCTGTTGCAGGAACGAGCCTAGTCAGAGCAGCATGTGATTTCAGCTGCAGAACAGTGAGAGAAGCAATAACCGGATGAGCATGCGAGCGAGATGCCATAACCGGATGCGAGATGCCGGGCTCTCGGATGAGCATTGTGATAGTTGGAAAGGCAAGCACTATGGTAGCATGGGCGCTGAAGTATCTTTTCACAACTAGGAAAAGATTATGTCGCATCTCATGCCAGTGCGTGCCATCTCATGTTACAATATGGCAGGTTTTTGGACTCGAACTCGCTGGTTGGCACCATTCCTGCCTCCCTGGGCAACCTCAACCAACTCACTACCCTGTGCGCCCAAGCTTGCTCTTGTTTTCTTTCAACAATTCTGTGTCTTCTTTCGATTATGCATGAACAGAGACTGAGTATCCGGGTTTTAGGATGAGAGAGGCTGGGGGACCTCACAGATCACGCATACAAGAGAAAAAACAGTCCATTCAACCCACTCCCATTGTTTTTCCTGTTCTGGCAAACCATTCAGGTTCTTGTCTAATAACCTCCTTGCGGGAACGATTCCCGCCGCGTTCAGCACACTCACTTGCCTCAAGTTCCTGTAAGCACGCACCCGCTATCCATGCGCTTGTCTGTCTGTCAAATGGAATCCTCTCCTCGCTACACCTGTACCTGCCACAGAGACTCCAATGCTCCTTTACTCTCTAGTCTCGTACTTCCACCCCGCCCGACGTTCAACATGCTGTGCCGCACACTCCCTCTCCCCCAGTCGACCTCACGGGTAATTGTGACTCATTGTGGAAGGGCAGCAGTACTAAGAAACGCTTTAGACGCGGTCTCGAGAATAGAATTTGACTTAGGTTAGCATAGTTCGACTTTACCATGTTCCGTCTTTGTTTGACCTGTACACATTTGATTAAATATAAGGACCATTCAAGAGTAAAAACTACCGAGCTAGGGGAACTCTGATCGCAAGAACTGTATTCACTCAAACAGAACCTGTTGCAAACATGTTCGGCAAGACGGGGAAACCCCGTCAAGCCTTCATCAATGCTTCTAAACAAATGGCTATTACAGCAAGGTATGTGCTAAGTATCAACCCATACCGCGAACAGAAATTAAGAATCTCAACTATCCAGATTGCCTAGTAATGGGCATTCGTCAACACAGCACCAGGTTACACATGTCTGCCTTCGGAGGTGTCTTCGAGATGGCTATCAGTAATCCTTCGTACCTTCACTCACACGAGTAACTTTTGCGGGTTACGTGCACACCTCCATGCAATGGAAATATTCCCCATACAAAAACCTAGTGAATTGAGACGATTTTTGAGGAGCCAGGAAAGAAATAACCCCTCCCTCTTCTCCAGTCAACCTCACCTATCTCGCTTTTCCTCTTGCACAGCCTGTTTCTCTGCCTTACCCCCCTTGCTTGCAAGCAAGGGAAATGAATAATAACCAGCTGGAAATGGAGATGCCTGCTTGGATTGGCAGCATGGCGTCCTTGGAATCCCTGTGCGTGCCACCATGCACCACACTCCACCTCTTCTCGTTTTAAACCTCTGTAGTTTGGCCATCGCATGAAGCGCTTTGATGAAATACATAACAATCACTGGGTCAAACATATTCATTGTCATGATGTTGATCCACGTAAGCCTTTACCCCCCCTCTCACCTTTCACTTCTTTCTCTTTCTTCTCACACCTCCTTTCTGCTTTGTAGTTTGTCCATCCCTTGTCTAGTTTGTCCCTACATTGGTCTTACTCATTGTGCTTTCAGACGCATCATTGTAGCTTGTCTATTGTACGGGGGTGATTGTTGTAATACAGCTTTATAATGGTGATTCATATGAATTCCAGAACCATGTTCGAAAACTAGTTCTGGGTAGTGTCACCACTGTAAGGAGTAAAGCTATAACTGCTTGTACTGCTTCCTGCAAAAGATTCTCTCTCCCTGTTCTTTCTGTTCTAATCTCCTCCGACCCTCACTCTCCCTCCTGCCATTGCTCTCTTTCCCTGCTTTTCTCTCCGGTTGCTCGTTGTTTCAAACCCGTCTCATACTTCCCCTTTTCTTTTTTGCTATCCGCTCCTCCCCTACCAACTTCAGTAGCCTCAGTCGCAACCGATTCAACGGCTCCATACCAGAGACGCTGGGCAATCTACACAACTTGACATGCCTGTGCGTGAGCTGAGGGGGGTCTGTGATGTGACGGAGTGCAGAAAGGTGGGGTCAGAAGAACTGCTGTTCTGTTCAGTGAGCTAGAGCGAGGGCCTAATGGAGTGCAAGGGGCTTTCCTAGAGAAACTGTAAGGGGTGAACTACAGCTGTGACGCATTGAGAGGCTGGCTTGATGATGGGGGGGCCTTGATTTGATCATCCACCTCAATATCTCGATCCTCTGCTCCTCTCCTGTTCTCTCTTTCGCCCCACCTGCTTGCTCCCTTTCTTCCTTTCCTCTACTACATCAAGCATTTGCCGCTCCTTCACTCCTTCAATGTTCTCTTGTTGCGTCCCATATGCCTTGCTCGAACCCACAATCTTGTTTACCCACAACATCTCAGAGGTCTCGATTACAACCTGCTCTCAGGATCTATCCCCGAATCAATCGGAGAATTGACCAGCCTAAGATCATTGTAAGAAGGCAGGCTGCAATGCTGTATCCTAATCTACGAGCCTAGTCAGAGCAGCATGTGAGAGTCTCGGCCCGGTTGGCTTGGTGAGAGCAGCATGTGAGAGTTTGAGCTGCAGAATAGCGAGAGAAGCACATGGGAGATGCCAGAACCAGGCCGGGCTGTTAGTCGGATGAGCATTTGTGATAGTTGGAAAGGCAAGCACTATGGCAGCACGGGCACTGGAGTCTCTTCTCATGACAAGGACAAGAATATGTTGCAACATCCCATGCCAATGCGTGCCATCTCATGTTACTTCATGGCAGGTTGCTGATATCAAACTCGCTGGTTGGCACCATTCCTGCCTCCCTGGTCAGCCTCAACCAACTCACTACCCTGTGCGCCCAAGATTGCTCTGATCTCAGAAATGCTATCTCTGCCCTTGATTACGCATAAACAGAGAACAAGTATCCGGGTTCTAGGATAAGAGAGGCTAGGAGAACTCACAATTTACTATGCAGTGTGGTCACACCTTTGAAACAAGCATACAAGAGGAGGAACAGTCTAATCAGCCCACTCCCATTGTTTTTTCCTGTTCTGGCGAACCATTCAGGTCCTTGTCTAATAACTACCTCGCAGGAACGATTCCTGCCGCATTCAGCACACTCACTCGCCTCAAGTTCCTGTAAGCACGCACCTTCCATCCATGGAGCTCCACAATCTCTTCTCACACGGCACCTTTCATCGAATTTCACTGACTGACTGGTAAGCACGCACCCACAAGCTCATGTTCTAAAAAGCACGCACCCACTATCCATGCGCGTGTCTGTAGTCGTACGCAATCCTCTCCTCACCACACCTGTACACCACCCTCGTGGAGTGCCAGGGAGACTCCAATGCTCCTTTGCCATCTACTCCCGTGCTTCCATTCCGCCCGACGTAGCTCCTCAAGAAATATCTTCAACACGCTGTGCTGCACACCAAGTCGACCTCACCCATCTCTCCACCATACCCTTCCCTTGCCTCGCTGATACCCCCCTTCGCCCCTCCGTATCTCTCCACATGCCTTCTGTGTGGGTTGGCACAGCGCTGTGGCCAACAACTTCCTGGTGGGGAAGCTGCCCTCTCTGAACCGCATGCCAGCGCTCAGGGCTGTGTCTGCACGAGACAACTATATCACATCTGTAGCAGAGGCACCTCCCGCATGCCCCACATCCCAGCTGCTTCTGGACTGGAACTGCTTTGCCCACAACCTGACCGTCTGCGGCACCCAGCAAATCCAGAAAGAAGCTGATTGGTGCACGTGGTTCTATGGGAACGACCCATCTTGTGGCGGCCATGGTTTTCGCTCCTTGCTGCCTGGAAAATATGCTCCTACCTGCGCTTGCGCTTACGGTTACACCAGTGAAACTCCTGAAACTTGCACCCCGCAAGGTAAGGCATGGAGGCTGCCTTTTTTTTGCTCATCAGATGTGCATTCTGTTTCTTCTTTACTGGTCTTGAAAGAATAACAGGGTTTCTGTTGCTAATCTCTAATACAGGGGCCATCCCACCCTAAACCTCATGCACCTTTTCAAAGAGTCCCTTGCAATCCTTTCGCTACCCATGCACCCATAAACACCCACGCCACTTCACTTCACCACAATCCGTCCTCCCATTCTCATCTCTACCTGATCAACCCTCTTATCTCCAGGTCCATACATCCCTTCTCACCTCACCTCTTACGAAGACCCGATGATTTTTTTTCAGTCAGCATTCTCTGCTCCCAACGGCTCCATCTTCCTCACCTCAACGCCATCCACTGCACCATGGGGAGCGGCCTTCACACCGCAACCCATCACCCTCTTCCTCTCCACCAACAAAAAGCAGCCCTGCGAGCAGCCCATTGGCTTCACCGTCTCGTTCACTTTTCAAATGACCCCTGCTGCTACCTTTGGTAGTGCTGCTGCAGGCGCAGGCAGCAGCACAGCAGGCGAGGGCCTGGCATTTGTAGTCACTGCGGCGGCACCCCAGGGGCTTTCTACAGGGGTGGGGCTGGGAGGGGTGGGGAAGCGGAGTGTGGCGGTGGAGTTTGACCCGGTGCTGAGTGTGAAGCACAGCGACCCCAACGACAACCACGTGGGCGTCAATGTGGGCGGCTCACCTGTGTCCCTCGCCTCTGCCACGGCCCCTCTCATCCTCAACGACGCCCACACCAAGCACGCCTGGATCCACTACGACCCCACCAGCGGCGGCACTCTCCGAGTCTTCCTCTCAGCCTCCAGGCAGCAGCCGTCCAAGGCTGTGCTGACGGCGAGAGTGTCTCTGTGCAGCGCACTCAAGCCCACCATGGGAAATTCCTCATTCATCTTTGGATTTATGGCAGCCTCTACAAACTATACTCAGAGGCATGACATTCTCTCATGGAAGATCATCACGGGTAAGTGCATCAGACATATTTGTCACGAGTCATATGTGTCATCAGACATATGTGTCATCAGACATATGCGTCATCAGACATATGTGTCATCAGATATGTGCACCATCAGATATGTGGGTCATCAGATATGTGTGTGTGTGTGTCTGTGTATGTGTGTGTTTGTGTGTGCGTGTGTGTGTGTATATGTGTGTGTGTGTGTATGTGTGTGAGCGCGTGCGTGCGTGCGTGTGTGCGTGCGTGCACATCTTTGTGTGCTTATGCATGTGTGCAGGCATACCTCCTGTTGTGGACTGGAAAAATGGAGTCCCTGGTAAGCATAATCAACCAGAACTCGTTCTTGCATTTTCAAAAACCCTTATATCTTAGATTTGCCTTCGCTGTCTCAGGAGTTACTTGCCTTAGCTGTCTCAAAAGCTCCTCCATTCTTCTGTGAAATCTACCACCATAACCCACCAGGCAAAACATTTGGGCAGGTGTCATCATCAGAGGAGGTGGCAGGAGCCAGTGAGAGCAAGAACGTGCCCTCCACCTTCCATTATGCCAGCCTCGCCTTTCAAGTGGACAGCCCAGCTACGGAGCCGTATTGGAACCTTCCACCTTTCGTTTCTTGGATGCGGAATGAGGCAACGTGGCCTGTGAAGAACCAGCACGGATGTGGTATGGCATGGATGGGGCGTGGATTGATGGGTTATGGCGTTGGGGCATAGGTGGTACGGAGACCTCACTATGGGCCAAGATAAGAACGTGGTGACTTGTGATTGCACTGGCATGTGATCAACCATCCAGCAAACGTATGATCCCTCCTCGCGAACCTCCCATTTCGCCCCTCCTTCATGCCCCTCCTCACATGCCCCTCCTTGCACGCCGCTCCTTGCAGCCGACTCCTCGGCATACGCAGTGGTAGCAGCAGTGGAGGCAGCCTACAGCATTGCGAGCAACGGGTCGCAGCCCCCCCGGCTGTCGGTGGAGCAGCTGCGGCTGGCCCTGTCGTCCAACTGCGACGACATGCCTCCGCGCGATGTGCTGGCCTTCCTGGTGGCTGCCACGCGCAAGGGAGGGGGGCTCGTGGATGACGCAGCAGCAGCGGCCGCCAGTCCACACAGCATGGCGTCCGCCGGCCGGCGGGAGAGACTGGCCGTGGTGAGTTGCAGCGAGTGGTGGGTGCTCACGGTCTCTTGTGCTCGTGGGGATGGTTGCTGGCATGGGATGGGAAGTTGGGTGCTGCAAGCTAAAGAAGAAGAATGAGATTAGGGCAGAGCATTTGATCTGGGCATTGCCTACTCAACTAGTGACTGATGCACCAGGGAGCATCCCTCCTTTTCATCTGCTCTCTCTTGTGGACTCCCCAACTTCATCATCCTTTTTTCCTGTCTCACAGAAGCCCAAGTACTACGGCATTCAGGGCTATGAGGAGACCTCCTTCGATGGATGGCTGGGTCTGCTGTTGGCAGTGCAGCGGCAGCCAGTGGTTGTGCGAATAGAGGCTTCCGCACAATCGTTCTTCGAGTATGACGGGGTGAGATACCATGCTGTCAAAGGGGGGGACGCCATGAACCACTGACACAGCCAATGGGTGCAATGTAGAGAAGTGTTCAAATGCGCATAAGAAGGTCGCCTTGAGACTCATGTTAGCTTTAGGAGTTGACTGGAAATGCGTCATTAGAAGCACTTTCGCATCTCCCCCTGCACCCCGCAGACATACAAGTATGCGGATGCTGGCTGTTTTCAGGAGGGGGTGAACCACGCAGTGCTGCTGGTGGGCTATGCTTTGCAAGGCAGCACGTCCAGCCCTTTCAGCCTCGATGGGCCCCTCTGGGTGATCCGCAACTCATGGGGCAGCGAGTGGGGCGCTGCAGGACACATGTTCATGGACATGCAGAGCGGGCCGGGCGTCTGTGGCATCAACACACTGCCAGGCATCTTCCCCATCCTCCGATGTATGTACGCTCAGAGAAGTGCATGTTGCTGGGTCCAAAATGCCACTTGTCTCACTATGCATGTCTTACTATGTTGCATCACAGGCTAAAGATACACAGCTTTTCTCATCTATGTATGTGGTGCGTGGTGTGCGCATGGCAGCTACTGCTGACCCGTGTGGCAGTAAGTCCGTGATCCTAGAAGGCTCATCAGAAGTGGCAGGGAGCAACGCGTTCAACCCGTGTGGGCAGTTCAAGTGCTCCAAGGCCGGAGCATCCAACCGCTGTGCCTGTGCTGCTCCCCACTTCGTCCAGGCCTCCCACCCCGACGGCTCCAACACCTGCGCCTATGGTGAGCCCAGCCTCACACTCCCGCACACTCCCTCGCACTTGTGACTGCCTTTCTTCATTCATAACTCACTTCATCAACTCCTTCCCCCTCTCCTCCCTGCCTGCCGCTGCCAGTGGACGCCTGTGGGCTGGCAGGCAGCAACCCGTGTGTGGTGGGCACGTGTGTGAACGATGGCAAGGGCAGCTACTCCTGTGTGTGCCCCCCGGGGTTCGTTCAGGGCACCACCGCCAAGGGAACCCTTTCCTGTGCTCCGGGTATACTTCTCCTGCCCACCCACTCCTCATCATCCATCTGCTGCTTGTGGCCCCTCTGCTACTCTTTGCCCCCCCTGTTCTTTCTTGCCGTTCGTCTTCAGGACATTGAATATAGACACAGCATTCTTGTATGACTAATATTACGAAACGAATGTTCAGCTCTGCTCGTGTTGTAAACCACAAGGCAGATGTGATCTAATTGTACGTCGTGCTCATGTTGATGCTTCATGCTGCATGCAGGCGAAAGCAAGGGCAGCTACACGGTGCTTGGCAGCAATGTGTGGTGCACTCAAGTGCTGCCCGTGTTCGGTCTCACTCTCGACCAACTCAAACAGCAGAACAAGGTGAGCACGTATCCTCTTATTCTACCTCAACGTTATGACACACCATATCTCACATGAAGCTGCAACGACCCTTCTTCCCCTCATGCGTGCAGAAGCTATCCTGTGCAAAGCCCATTCCAGTGGGATCCAAGCTGACTGTCAAGACGACCCAATCTTTTCCTAAATGCTCGCTTTTCTACACCATCCAGCCTGTGAGTGCAGCCATGCCACACGGCACCTATTTTCTCATTGTACTAGGCATTGCGTGGAGAGAACCCTTTTCCGTTTTTTCACAGCAAAAGCAGAACACGCAAACATGTTTGAGTCCAACGATATATTTGTCCGTGATGTGTTCAGGGGGAAAGCTGTGTGACATTCGCTCAGCAGTTCAATCTGAGTGACAGCTGTCCCGGGTATGGCGATCAGGCATGTGTGGATGCGTTGGCAGGGCTCAACCCTGGGCTCAATTGCTCAGAGCTCATGCGCGGTCAGGCTGTATGTGTGGAGCGCGACGAGAGCAGAGCGAGGGAGGTGGCAGTGTGTGATGAGGAGTACCTTGTCCAGGTGTGCGGCGGCTGTGATGCTGTGATGGCGGCTGTGGATCCACCGTTGAGCCCACTGGAGTTTTACCGCCTCAACCCGGGCATCAACTGCAAGTGCTTGTCGACCAACTTACCGTATCGTTATTCGTAGCGCAAGGTAAAAACATAAATCCAGTGCCAACTTGCCATGGAAGATTCACAGGCTTACTCTCACCCATCACCATTCTTGTTCTTATGTAGGTTTGTGGTGCAAGCAGCACACGGTATAAGACTGCCACCTGCCCAGGGGGCACCTACAGCATTGCAGCTGGAGACAGCTGCGCCATGATTGACGTGAAGGAGTTTGCCAGCATCAAGGGGTGCTACAGGAAGATGAATGGCTTTGAGTGCTTGGAGAGAATGCTATTGGGGACAACTGTCTGCACCCCCGAAGCTTCGGCTGCTCGAGTTGGGATATGCTCCATAGCTTAAATAAGGTTAGTGGCCCAGTCTGTCATGTTAGCATTCAATTATTGCGTCTCATTTTAAATAGGCTTAGAGGTGTTTAGTTATGCTCCCATACCCCAGATGAATATTTGAATAGAGTTTATTAGCGTGTGTGCCAAATGACTGGCACATTTGAGATTTTGGTAAATATGTTTTATCTTCAAGGAGGTAGTTTCTCATGTGGTGAACAGGGACAACTTTAGTGAAATGCTCTGTCTGGCTTTGAGACCAGGTTCTGGAGGCTTGTTTGAGCATCAGACGAAATCTGAAGCTGTCTATTTTTTTAGACGAAAATTTAGGCTCTGTGGAATTCATACGAAATTTTAAGCCTAGTCTAAAATCAAGTACTCGACGCTACATTAACTTAACAACCATCCTGCACTTGTGCTACTACAACTCGTAGTATAATATGAAGATTCACTATCACTACCAGGTCCATCACTAGCATCATCGTCATCAAAGCGGTCCTCTTGTGGAACTTGTGCTTTCTCCTTCTTGGTCCAGACGGGCAATTTCCATGCCTCTTCTTTTGCACGTCTGTCTCTCTTCCTGCTTGCAGCGCCTCTTCTTGTGTGGTTGTTGCTGCTGCTACTGCTGGTGCTGCAGCGGCTCTCTGCCGGTGGTGGGACCGCCGCTTTTTTAACGGGCGGGATGACTGCGCCATGACAACCTCTTTCACTGGCCGTCGCTTCTTGCTTGCATGCCACCTCTCCACCAAATTATCCCAACTTTGTCGTAGTCGAGGAGGGAGATGGTCATGAGGTCGCCGAGGGTCGCATCGCACAAGTTGAGGCGGCACCAGCTTTCAATCATGTTCTGTCGGCTGAAACCACTCTCGCACTCAACAGTGCTGAGTGGGACATGGCCACTGCAATCCTCAGTCGGCCAAGGTTGGGATAGGCCGTCTGCCAGTCGTCCGTTGAGAGCAAGTGCGGGAGGCTGTCGTGAATGCTGATATCTTCATGGTTGGTGGAGAGGATGGTTGTGAAACTCGTGAGCTCCTTCTTGGCTGTGCCCCATTTGATGCCTGGAGTGCGGGTGGGATACATTGGGTTGGAAAATAGTGGCAGATTGTAAATTTAGCAGAATACGCCAAGCCAGATAGAGAGCAAGGGAGAGAGAGGGTTACAGCTTGACAAATCCTCAACGAACTACCGGGAAGGATATTAGGGTGGTGGGATTTTATCTTGAACAGGTCTCGCAACGACTGGAGCCATTGGGAAAACGCCGCTCCCTCTTTGCACGCGTAGTTGGGTATTGGACCTGGTGGAAGAGACGGCTCTCCGAGAGCAACTTGAGATCCTTGAGCCGATTGTTGATGTACCATATTGTCGCAGCAGCAAACTCGGATGCGAGCTTGATGCACGACTGTAAGTTCCCTCCACCGTCATGCCCCTCAATGGGCTTCTCATGGAGCTCGTGTGTGTGCGTCGTAGGTGTGCCATCGCTGGCAACACCCTCAACGGTCACTGAGCGAGCGTGCGGCTTCTAGTATGCGTGCGGAAAAGCGGCGAGGCGAGGAATATTGTCGGCAAAGGTGGAGTCGTACTCCACATAGCGGCTTCTCAATGCCAGGGTCGTGTGGTCAACCGTTGGCATCACCTGTGTCATATCAACCTGCATGGAGAAAAGGTAAGCACAGACACCAATAGAATAGAGAAAACAACCGAGAAGGAAAGAAGAGACTCTAGCATCTAGAACAGACAAGTAGAACAAATCAATCAAGAAGTGCTTACCTGCCGTCTTTGAAACTTGAGGTTGAGGCAGTTCAGCTCCTTCAGCAGGTCAACCTGAAAGAAAAAGAAGATTTGGAACTTGAAGCTCGTGTTGAGGTTGTAACACTTCTTGTCGTACTCGTACAACAAGACAATGGCAGCGGGTAGAACGTCTACAAATCGCGCAATCGTGTATGTCCTGAATCCTTTGCGTTGGTGCTTGTCAGCACCTCCTTTAGCTTCAAGATGCGCCAGTGCTGAACGTGCATGTTGGCGTAGTATTGCACAACCTTGTCGACGATGTTGAAGTCGGGGAAGGCAAGGGCTGTGTCCTTCGCCGCAAGAGCCTCCCTCTAAAAACAACAAACATGTGGTAAGTTCAACTGTTTTATGCAAACAATGGAGCAACCACCGCTAAACCTTGAGCCACGAGAAGTACTTGTGGGCAACGCAGTTGCAGGGGGCGAGGTGCCCCTAGTGCAAAGGCGTGCCACCAGTGCCAATCGTCGTTGCCCCTGGCAGCTTTTAAAGACTGGATTAGCAAGCTACGAGCCAAAGTGTAAGAAGGCTCTGATACCAAGTGTGAGAGGATTGAGATTTCAATTTGACATTGAGTACTGAGCCTGGGTACAACTACGCGGCTATGCATGGGCACGATATAAGGCACGTAACTATGGTGTTACTGGAAGGTATCGAGGCTCTAGAACCAGCAGGAATAGAGCCTTCCCGAATTCGGTAGAGTCACTCAGTGAATGCTTACGAACATGCAAGATCGTGCGAAACAGCTTTAGAAAACAGTAAAATCTGGTGCACGCAATCCTATTCTGCCAAAAAATCCTTCTTCGTTACACCCACTTCCCACTGATTATTTTTCTCCCCTTTGCTGCTGATCGCAGGACCAAATTCTATATTCTGCGGCAATTAAGTTCTTCTACTACTGTCAAACCATATCTGTGCTAGTTGTGTGTAGGCTATAGTGGGGTAGACCATGTGGGGTACAACCCAAGATTAGGGTTAGTACTTGTACCCACAATTTATTCAATGCCATCATTCCTGCTTCCTATCTTGACATGGTATCAGACTCCGCAGCCGCAGGCTCAGCACCCCCATGAGCAGTACCAGTCCCGGCAGCTCCAGTACCTCCAGTACGAGCACCTCCAGGACCAGAGACGCCAGCACTCCCAGCGCCTCCACGACAAGCAGCTCCAGCAGCACGACTCCTCAGGCGGGTACGCGACGCAAGCCACTCTCGTGCCTGCTGTGGTGAGACAGGCCCGCGTCGTGAAACGAGACCCAGAGGAACGCCAGCAGACTCATCACCCCTCCTTGCCACGCCTCCGTGGCATGCACCGTCGCCTCCTAGTGTCTGGTCTTCCCAGGTCTCTCCCTCCCCTCCCTGCCTCCCCTGCGCCGCCCTGCCTTCCTTGTGTCGAGGGGCGGCAGCGCGCCGCTCCTCACTCCTCTTCGTTTCCCCCGACAGAGGCTCCTCTGAAGACCCTCCACCTGGACGTGTGAGGCCTAGCCCGCGTTCGTGGACAGGGCGGTGAGTGGTACTTTCTGCTGGTTGTTGATGAATACTCGCGTTACACCACGATCTTCCCCTTGCACACCAAGGGTGAGGTTCCTGCTGTCCTGATCCCTTGGATCCGAGCAGTTCGTCTCCAGCTCCGCCGGAGGTTCCGCCAGGACCTTCCTGTCCTGCGTCAACACTCTAACAGAGGTGGTGAGTTTACCTCCGACCTCTTGCGGGCCTTCTGTCAGGGGGAGGGCATCGAGCAGTCGTTCACGCTTCCGGGCTCACCGCAGCAAAATGGGGTTGCAGAGCGCCGCACTAGCTTAGTCATGGAGGTCGCTCGTACCTCCTTGATCCATGCGGCGGCTCCCCATTTTCTGTGGCCGTTTGCGGACCGGTACGCCGCGCAGCAGCTCAACCTCTGGCCCCGTGTCTCGTTGCCGGAGACCTCGCCCACACTGCGTTGGACGGGGGAGGTTGGTGATGCGTCGCGTTTCCGGGTCTGGGGTGCTCGTGCCCTTGTCCGCGATACGTCCGCGGACAAGCTCTCCTCCCGCACCATTCTCTGTGTCTTCCTTGGCTTTGTCCCTGACGCGCCTGGCTGGCAGTTTTACCACCCCACCTCGCGTCGTGTCTTCCCCTCTCAGGACGTCACCTTTGACGAGTCGGTTCCTTCCTACCGTCTCTTCCCCTACCGCACTGCCCCTCTCCCTCCTCCGCCGCTTTTCCTCACTCCAGGTCCCCCTCCGGTAGACCCCCTCCTCCCTCAGGCGCCTGCTCCTTCAGGTGTGTCTCAGGTAGACCCGCCCCTAGTGGCTGAGCCTGTAGAGGTCACTAGCGACTCAGGTGCTGCTGCGGGAGGTGTTGCTGGGGGTGCTGCGTCTGGGGGTGCTGAGCCTGCGCGTGAGGTGCTGGGGAGTGCGGAGCCTGGTGCTGCTGCTGGAGGTACTAGGGCTGGAGGCACTGGAGCTGGTGCTGTCGACCCTGGCGTTGGAGACCCTGGAGCTGGAGGTGCCAGTTTTGGAGGTGCTGCTGCTGGAGTCCCTGGACCTGGTACTCTCGACTCTGGAGTTGGGGACCCTGGGGCTGGAGGTGCCGGTTCTGGGGGTACTGCTACTGGTGGCGCTGGAGCTGGAGGTTCTGGAGCTGCTGGAGGAGCTGGAGCTGGAGGTGCTGCTGCTGGAGTCACTGGAGCTGGAGGTGCTGCTGCTGGAGGCGCTGGAGCTGGAGGTTTTGGAGCTGCTGGAAGCGCTGGAGCTGGAAGTGCTTCTGCTGGAGTCACTCGAGCTGGAGGTGCTGCTACTGGAGGCCCTGGGTCTGGAGGTGCTGGAGCTACTGGTACTGGTGGCACTGCACCGTCGCAACTGTTTTTTCGCTCCGCCGTCACCGTCGTCTCTGCCACCGCCTGACTCCGTGCTTTGCCAGGTTCTTAGCCTCCCGTCTTCTACTGGCTTCCCGTTACAGCCCGGCGCACCACTGCCTGCTCTGTCTCCTTACACTGAGCAGACAGACTCGCTTACAGAGCGTCGTGAGCCTGCGTCTCGTTCTGCCTCGCCTGTTCGAGCGCGTCGCACTGGTAGTCGTGTTCCTCGTAAGCGTCCGCCTCCTGTCCCTGGCACGCACGCTATGGCACTTCGTCGTTCCTCTGTTCCACAGCATGTTCCCCCACCGTCTCCTCCTGCGTCTTCTCTGCCTGACGTTCAGGACCCTGAGTCTGACCTGGTTTGTGCTGCTCACCCTAGTGTCACGCGTCTGCT